AATTGAACTTGGAGCATCTTCTTCCCCTCTGGTCTTATAAGCAGACATGCATGAGTCAATGAAACAATATACACATTCTTTCAAGTATTTTATGAACTCAAATGAAGATCAACGACATAGATGTACTCATCAATCAAGAAAATGTGACTCATCTCAACTTGAATAGGCTGCATAAAGCTATTGAACAAATTCGTTTTTCTAAGGAATAGTCTTGGATTAGTATCCCACAATAATTTAGAAACTCGAAAATTGGTGCATGTATAAAAGACCTGGGTCTATAAAATCTTTTAAATTGAGTCTGTTACAATAATCCTGAAAAGAGTTGGCGAATTGTTTTTGCTCCGGTGCAAGGTCATTTAATGCGCAGATTAGGCACAAGTCACTTGGGGTGCACATAGTTTTCAGCATTGTGCCCAATCCTCATAAATGAACTTCTACATCATTAGTACTGATTTACTGACTGACACCTACATATGGAGGTGCAAAGAGGCACTACCTTTTAGTGAAGCTCTTACTAGCTTTGGATAAGAAAGCTTCTCTACCACCTCACACTTACAGTAGGTGAAGTTAGATGACATACTAGCAGCTCCATGACTGATGACTGCATCTCTGATTCCAGTCATCCAGTGCAAAAGAAGTATAGCAATTAGCAACACACCATACAAAATTAGACTTCAAAAGTTCAAATTAATACAAAAGAGTGTTTTTCCATTGAAAAGCAACATCTGAAAAACGTCTTCCTCACAATTGCATAAATTCCTGCTTTCCTGCCTGAGAGTGCACAGGTGACCTCCTATAGGTGCTTTGGTTGCTAAATCCTATGGTAACCACCCACCACCATATGCACTATGCAGGCTAAGCAGCTTTAGCCAAGAGGAATGAGGGCAAAGGCCTAAGGGACCTTTGTCAGAAGTCCACAGTAAGCCCAATGTAAGATTTTAAGCCCAATTCTGGACTGACCCACCATTAAACGTTGGGCTTTTTTAGTTGAAAGTTGGGTATCGACTATCTCGATCAGGTCCATTTTACAGGCGATAAGATGGTTTTCTCAGTAATTACGACAATCCAGAAGGGCAAGTTTTCATCACTTTATTCGTTTAATAAATCTGTTTCTCTTCACACCTTCAAACCCTAATCAATCAATCTCTCTCTCACTCACCTTAGCCGGCGATCTCTCTCTTAGTATCTTTGTTCTCTCTATCTATTTTTTTGCTATTTTTAATTTTTCTTGCAGAAGCTTTGAAACACAGTTACACAGTTCAATTCAATTCTTCTCGAAGGATCGAAAGGTGAATTCAAGTTTTATTTTTTTTGAATTGAAGCATTTTGAATTATTGTTTTGAATCTGATCTCTAACATTTTTATTGTTGTCGTTGTTGCAGAATGGGAGAAGTAAAGGACAACGAAGTTTATGAGGAAGAGGAAGAGCTACTCGATTACGACGAAGATCAAGATAAGGCTCTTGACACTGTTGCTTCTAAGGGTGCTGGCGAATCTGCCAAGAAGTAAGCTTTCTTTTTATCTTATATGAATTATTTTATGTTGTGTGTTTGATTAGATGTTGTGTTATATGTATTAGTTTCAGTGTTTTGATTTTTAGTTTGTTGTAGATCTGATTTGATGTAAAAAGCTTTGATGTGTAGTGTTTTAGGCTAATTATTCTTGAATTTGAAGTTATAATGAAGTATTTATTTGTGTAATCTATTGAGTCTATCTGTAATGGCTTCTTTAGTTTTTCTGTTCATAATCATCTAAAATTGTTTCAAAGTTCAACTCATAATCATTCTCTTTTGGCTTTTGAGAGCAATTAGCAAATTATTTTGGTCGATGTGATATTGACTGATATAAACTACCTTGCTATAATCTTTCTTGTATTCAGGAATGAGGGATTAGAATTTACAAACATACTACTTTGTGACTCCTTCAATCTATATGACAAAATTTAGGGAACTTTTTGAATGAAGCCCCAGCTATTGTAATATCTCTTTTTGTCGGTATTATGGGATGGAAAATTGTCTTATGACTTTTTTGTTGGCATTGTCTTTCTGGAAGTCTTTTGATTCTTTATACTAATGTACCTTTTCTTTTGGAATATAGGGGATATGTTGGAATTCACAGCTCAGGTTTCAGAGACTTCCTTTTAAAGCCAGAGCTTCTACGTGCAATTGTAGACTCAGGATTCGAGCATCCTTCTGAAGGTATTTCACAACTTAAATCTCTTGCATGCAGAAACACTATCGAAGGAGTTGTGTAGTCCTCTGAAACAAAGTTCTGAATACCATTATTTTCATGTGCTGACATTTGATACTGGAATACTTTTTAGTCCTTGGTTTGTATTAGAAGTTGTATTCCCTTACTGAAATCCCAATTCTAGCTTTTATCTGGCCATCTGTTTAGTACTCTGATACCTCAACTGTTGCAAAGTTGTCTTCTTTAACCACTACGTTTTGTTTGGTGTGAAATTTTGGTTTGGCTTGATATATGCTACTATTGATTTGGAATAAATAACATCAGCAATGCTACACCATCTTAATTTTACTCTTTGCTATACTCTATACTACAATATAAAAAATAGTCATAGAAACTTGCAAAGGTGGATAAAAAGGTTACACTCTTTTCTTCTCATTTGTTTCAACACACAGATTTTCAATAAACAGAGTGAAAGGTGTAAAATCCATCCAAAAGGCATATGCATGTATATTGTATCCATGTGATGTTCATTCTGCATCTGCTAAGATAGGGTTCATAGGGAAAACTATAGATAATGCTCATGATGAAAATGAACATAGCTGTTGTCATTGAGGACATTTTGAGATGTGTAGAGGACTTATACGTGTGGTTATGACTCTCCGAGTCCTGAAAAAGGGGTATATTGAGTGGACTGATGGCCAACTCTACCACCCACCTTGATGTCAGGATGTACATGATTGTCGTTATGTTTGGATCAGTTAATGATTCATGAAGATTAGATTTAATTATTTTTGTAATATTTGATATTATTATGGAAGTTGGCGCTAATTAATTTGTCTAGGATTTTTAGTGATAACATTAATGTATTCTTGTTGTAGTTTTTTCCATGATTTGTCATGCTTCCATCCCTATGATGATCGCTGTGCGAATAAAGTAGTGGACTGATATCATTTGATGAAGTCTTTTATTCTGAGGGATTTTTTATGTATTAAAGAAGGGAACTGAAATTGCCATTCTGGTTTTTGCACCATCCTTGTTTTTCTGACCCATATGCCCCTCATTTTTCAAACATCTATCTTTAACTAAATGACAAAAGAGGTTATTTAGGTCAATTTACTTAACAAAAATATATGTAGGGGATTTCTTAGTTAGGATTTTTGTGGTGAGTAGGTGTTGTGCGTTAGTGCGTAGTTGTGACTATGAGAATTGATCTTTAACTAAATGATAAAAAAAGTTATTTAGGTCAATTTACTTAACGAAAACATATGTAAGGGATTTCTTGGTTAGGATTTTTGTGGTGAGTAGGTGTTGTGCGTAGTTGTGACACTGAGAACTGATGGGGACGAATATGAAATATCTTAATTGTTTGTATATTATGTTGTTTTTAACTAATGACAGTGTTCTCAATCTAAATGTATTAGTTGTTTGTTTTGGTTATTAGCTGGTTAATAGGGTTATGCACCTGTTGTACATGTATTATGATTTTAATCTTTTACTTGATGATTTTTCAGGTAATATACTACATCCATATTCTTGAATTTGAAGGAGAAAACTGCTGGCAACCCTTTCAATGAAAAGGATCCAGAAGGTCATTATTTGTATACTGAGGGAAGTTCACACCGGTTTTTTGGTTCATCAGTGCAACATGAATGCATTCCTCAAGCTATTTTGGGAATGGATGTCATCTGTCAAGCCAAGTCCGGGATGGGGAAAACTGCGGTATTTGTTCTTTCAACGATGCAGCAGATTGAGCCGGTTGCAGGTCAAGTTGCTGCTCTTGTATTATGCCATACAAGGGAATTAGCTTACCAGGTTGGTCTTGTGATCGGTCTTTCAAACTGAAAAGGTACTTGCAATTGCAATCTTTTTTTTCTTTTTATAACTAAAGTAAGAGTTATTTCTTGTTGCAGATCTGTCACGAGTTTGAGAGATTCAGCACCTACTTGCCTGATATTAAGGTTGCTGTTTTCTATGGTGGTGTTAACATAAAAAGTCATAAAGATTTACTTAAAAATGAGTGCCCACATGTTGTTGTTGGAACACCGGGGAGGATATTGGCATTGGCTAGAGAGAAGGACCTTCCTTTGAAGAATGTGAGGCATTTTATCCTTGATGAGTGTGATAAGATGCTTGAGTCACTTGGTAATCTTTTCTCTTTTCATTTGTGAAGTCAAATTAACTCTTTATTTTTCCTCCAAATTGATTATGAAAGGTCTTCTTGATTCACAATTTTCAATGTCTGCAGACATGCGGAAAGATGTGCAGGAGATTTTCAAGATGACTCCCCATGACAAGCAAGTTATGATGTTTTCTGCCACACTAAGCAAGGAGATCCGACCTGTCTGCAAGAGATTTATGCAAGATGTAATGTCCCATGGCTAATACTCGTATATAGAAGTCGTCTTTGTCCGTTATGTCTGATAGTTCAGAAAATATTTCTCATGAACGGACGTGTGTTCTCAGTAGCATGATTGTGGGCATTTTGTCTTCCTTATTCTAGTGTAGTTTTATCTTGGGTAGCTTAGCTCTGGGATTTTGGATATGGTGGATACAGAATCACTGCCTGGATAACCTTAGAATTTCAATGTCATTGGATCGTCATTGAAAGATTCAATGGTCACTATCATTAGTCGTTAGAAGATCAGTATCTTTGTGTTTGATTCATGATGTATAGTCAGTTATCCGTTCTCGTCATTGTTGCTCAATTCTTTGCGTTTTGGGTTGCTTGGCTGATGTTTAGTTGCTAAAAGTGGTATGATATCATGGAAGGAGGTCTTTAATGACATGTGATTTCCGTATTTAAATCAATTGGACTGGGATCTTGGTTTGAGAGTTGTCATCATTCATCTGGTACTGAGTTCTGTTAGCTTGAGGAAACACCAAAAGTCCAAATCCCTCCTAATCTCTTTAATGACATTTTATTCCTTTCAGCCAATGGAGATCTATGTTGATGATGAAGCCAAACTGACCCTGCATGGCCTTGTACAGGTATATTTGAAGCAGTGCTTCTTTATTTATAGACATCTAGGGTAGACTTACTGGATCTTGTCATTGGTTATCACATCCTTTGATTTACTTTTGTTCAGCATTACATTAAACTCAGCGAGCTCGAGAAAAATCGCAAGTTGAATGATCTTCTAGATGCGTTGGACTTCAATCAAGTTGTCATCTTTGTCAAAAGCGTCAGCCGAGCTGCAGAGCTAAACAAGTTGCTTGTGGAATGTAACTTTCCATCAATTTGTATTCACTCGGGAATGACCCAGGAAGAAAGGTTAATATATTATTTGTTTCTTTTTGCTTAAGGTCCATATTTTTTTACAATTAGTTGATTATGAGTTGTGTGTTTGGATTGCTGCACCTGTATGTAAGTCAGGGTGTTTTGGACATTTCTAGCTTTGCATGTGCCTTTAGTTGCTAGGTGTTCCATGGGGCCTTATCTGCCTCGTAGCGGGAAGCGTAGATTCGATAAGAACTAAAAGATAAACTAAATTTGGAGAGAAGTTATTCTCTTTGATTGATTAATTTAATGATACAATTTTTGTCGCTCTTTGTATAGATATCTCCTTGAAATCTAGGAAACCTACTAAAAATAGTAAAAACTTGTATGCTAAGTCATATAGAACACTTAAAAGATTTCCTAAACTAATTAGAACTCATGAAAGATTCTTTAGACACTTACCTAAATATTAATGACAAAAATTAGATATATTTAATCTAAACAAAATAAATTAGTAATATAGAAATTCAACGAATACTATCATTATGATCTTCTGCATCACTAGTATAGTTTCTCTGCAAATTAGCTTCATAACATTGGTATACAACTTCAAGATGAGAGTGGGTAAATTTCAAATGTAAAAATCGTTAAAACAGTATGCTGAAATATTTAATGCAAATATCAGTTTATGAAAGATAATTGTTAGAAGTTCAAGTCGTTATAAATAGTAGGGCATTTGTGAAAGATACGTGATGAATTTTGTATGTGAAATCGGATTTTTTTATTTATTTATTTTTTATGATGTGTTTGTCAGTTTTTATTTATTTCCAACATTGGGATGTGCAAGTGAAAAGCTACAGGAATGTAGTTTTCTTTTTCACTTGACTGTAACTTGGTTTGTAATAATTGGTCACAATGATGTACCACAGTATGTCAACGGTTAGAGTGTAGTCATTATTCATTAATGACATTAGGGTAATTTATTAATTTGAAGAACTGTTTAATGTTTGTCAAATTCTTAATTTTTCCAAGGTGAGTTTATCAATTCGAAGTCTGGTATGCAAGCTTATCTTATTTATTTTCTCTCTGTGCTTACTATAATGACATTAGCGTAATTTATTAATTTGAAGAGCTGTTTAAAGTTTGTCAAATTCTTAATTTTTCCAAGGTAAGTTTATCAATTCGAAGTCTGGTATGCAAGCTTAACTTATTTATTTTCTCTCTGTACTTACTATGTTAAATTCAGTCTCTGTCAAGAGATTCCATACATTTCTTGCTGATTGAGATGAGTTCGATTGTTGCAGGTTGATGCGCTACAAGAGTTTCAAGGAGGGGCATAAGCGAATTTTGGTGGCAACTGATTTGGTGGGAAGGGGGATAGATATAGAACGTGTTAATATTGTAATCAACTATGACATGCCAGACTCTGCTGATACTTACCTGCACAGGGTTGGTTGCTTTCATCCGTTATAAGCTTTTGTGACATTTTTTTCGTCCTGCAGTAAACTTTTACGAAGCTGTATAGTTACTTTGTTTGTTTCTTTTCACAGGTGGGCAGAGCTGGTAGGTTTGGTACCAAGGGTCTTGCAATCACGTTCGTGGCTTCTGGTTCAGACTCTGATGTCCTTAATCAGGTATTTAAGCCACACTCCCTACATTTTGTATAGCTGAAGCTTCTTTGTGTCAAATCTTATGTTAATTTGTTATCTTTGAGTCCAGGTGCAAGAGAGATTTGAAGTCGACATAAAGGAGCTTCCGGAACAAATTGATACCTCTACATACAGTATGTTCTTTTTTTCCCCTTGTTCAAAATGATTCTTTACCACTTCATATTTTCAAAAATATTCAGGATACCATAATGGTGTACTATATATCTTATTTGTTTCTGATTATTAAAAGACAAGTTATTTTATTTTAGTCTAAGTGTAGTATGTAGTGAACTGTGGAAGCCCCATCAATGAACATATTAGCTGCTGAGTTACTCCTATATTGATTCACCAATATGAGTAGTAGTTGTTTATTAGCCTAAAATTTTCACTGGAATCTACAATAGGGCCTACCTATTTGTCTGTGGTTGTTCAAAGGCATCCCATTACTGATGAAGCCATACCTAGTAGTATTGGTGAATCTGTTCTTAATTTAGTTGCTAGGTTGCTCATATGGTCTTGAGTGGAGTATGTCATTGTATTAGTGGTTGCTGTTCTTCATCCTACCTGATTATATTTGTCTTAGTTTCATGGTTCTTAAGTTTGTATGCTCTTTCAAATGGTGATTGTAGAAAATTATTATCCTCTTAAGATCTTTATCTTAACTTCATGGTTTGTTGTATTTGCAGTGCCATCATAATGGATGCCCGATCAGTGAATGGAAGCTTCATTATTCATTCATTATGTACTGTGTGATGATTGCTGCTTGGCACAATGGCATCATGGACGTTGATATTGTAGACTGTAAAACATTGAACAGGGGAAGTAACGGTTAGCAGATGAGTTCTTTCATTTGGCTTGTGTTGACTGTTAAAGTTAAAGTCTTTGGCTAAATGGCGAGGATGCCGTCTTTAACTAGTATATTTTTACAACATGTGAGATGTCATTATCAGTGTGTTATTTATGAGTAGTTAAAATCGAATTTGAATCTTTTCTAAAATGTGAATAGTAATCCAATTTAGAACCTCAGTGGGTTCAGTATCATGCTTGTTTTGTTTAGTCTCCTGACATCTGATTGATGGGGGTATTGGGAGTTACTTTTGAAATTCCTGATTT